GCACTGTTGCAGGTAGGAAGATGAAACCTGTGTTATTATGATGATGTTAAACAAGAGATTTGAAAAAAATAACAGATGACCATATATGGTCATGTGAGCTCATTAATATGCATAATCGTTGTATCTCAAACACTGTTGCAGTTAGGAAGATGAATCCTGTGTTATCATGACTATGTTGAACAAGAGATTTGATTAAAATAACAGATGACCATATATTAATAACCTTTATATCTCAAATAAATATATGGAACCAACTGCATTTCGACCTCATGGTACTAATCATTCAAACTAATTGTGTATCATGTGTATCATTTGACATTATTTATGGCATGTATACTTGGGCCCCTGTGATGCTGCTTGCAGCTTTAATTGTATTTATTCTTATTTTAACATCATAAAAAACAAAAATGATACACTTGTACATGAAACAGTAGGTAATGAACTGTAAATGCGGGCGGTTGCGCTGTCAGGCGAGCGAGTGAGCGAGTGATTGCGCGAGCGGATACTTCCGGATTTGCGCGGTCGAAAAAAAAGCGGAAATTGCGCGGTCGAATTGAACAAAGCGAGCGAAAAAAAAGCGATCGAAATTCGGAAGCGGGCGGGAGGTTCGGCGAAATGAGTACTGTATGATCATGAAATGAACAAATCTGAGAGAGGTCTACCCAAGGTACATATACACCAAGTGTCAAAGCATTCAGGCTTGTAGTTTTCAAGAAGAAGTCGAAAAAGTAAAACATTGACACGGACGACGACGGACAATCACTCATATGATAAGCTCCGCTCGACAAAGTCGACAGCAGAGCTAAAAACAAGTGGCATATACAACAGATTGTTTATTTACATCAAAACACGTGTTCCGTGTAGTAGTAATATGGCCAATAATAAAAACTTTTGATCTGATCTGATCTTTGATCTGATTATGAAACACAGTGATATGTATGTGCCAAATACGAATGAAAATGGTACATAAATTGTGGAAATATATTAGTAAGGCCAAAAAGTCAGATTGCTGTCAATCGGCCATCCTTGACCAGATTTTGAAACAAATTGTTATGTACATGCATCCTAACATGTATAAAGTACATGTATGTGCCAAATTTGAATGAAAACTGACAGAGCACTTCCAAGATACCGCATAAAAAAAAAACAAGATGCCTGCCAGTCGACCATCTTTGATCCAATTGCGAAATAAATTGTACTGGACATGTAACCTGACATGTATAATCTATGTACAAAGTTTGAATGACAACTGACAAAGCATGTCGAAATACAACATTTTCAAAAAATAAGATGGCTGCCAGTCGGCCATTTCAAATCGAATCGCTAAACCACTGCATGTGCATATGTACTAGGCACATGCAAAGAATGAACGGAATCGGTCCACAGGATTCTGAAATATTACTATTGACAGACTGACGCACGAACGGACAGATGGACGGACAGACTCAGGAACTCACGGATGGTCGGGGACATGTATCCTAACATGTATGATCTATGTACCAAATTTGAATGAAAACTGACAAAGCATGTCCAAAATACAACATTTTCAAAAAGCAAGATGGCTGCCAGTCGGCCATTTTGAATCGAATCGCTAAACCACTGCAAGTGCATATGTCCCAGATAAAGTACTAGGCACATGTAAAGAATGAACGGAATCGGTCCAAGGGATTCTGAGATATGACTCCGGACGGACGCATGGACGCACAGACGCAAGGACGGAGACCGAATTATAAGTCCCCGTTTTCGGACTTCGTCCGAACAGGGACTAAATATAGGAAGGAAATAGGAAAAAATCTTCAAAGTGAAAATAAAGTATTTTACAGTCATTTAACCTTAGAGACTACTTACTGCAGGAGTAAGGTGTGAGATTTCTAATTCAGAGATTACTTACTGATGGGAGGAGGAAGGTGTGAAGGGAAATCATCTTTGGTCGGTGCATTCAAGGATTCACCAAACACCATCTCATAGATTAGGTGACCAAAACAATATGCATCCACAGACTCGGTTGTCTGGAAAAATAACATGGATATTATTATGATGGAAAAGTATGCACTGATAATTTCAACATTTTAAAATATAGGTCATGATTCATCATGTGTATGCCTAATAGTGGTAGATTCATGGGCTATTATATTCTAAATCCTTAAAATACAGTGTTGGTGTTTATCATTGGAGGTTCCGTGTATCAATCTAAAAATTCTTTCCTCTTGTCAAATAGAAATCATTATCTAATTATTTACGAGACTACTCATTTCACTGACCAGAGCAGTACGTGTATCACTCGTCGCCATGTCGTTGCTATGGAAGTAACCATGAATTTCCGATAGAGGGCGTTTGTGCTACACACAATACTGTTTATGCCACTGTGCGTGTTCACACACACTTTTGTCTAGAATTTAGGTCTGAGCACGGACTCTGGTCAGAAAGTTTGCACTGGTGTAAAATCCGTCATTTTTACACCGGTGTAAACTGGTCACATGGTAAAATAGCACCATCGGTAAATTTACTGCGGTGCTACAACGGCGTAAATGTTACGTGTGAATCCAGGTATATCTGTCAGTTCTATGATGTCATATGGGATGTTTCTGCATCTGTAGGTTCTCTGGTATCATATGGGATGTTTTCGTATATGCGAATTCTATGGTATCATATGGGATGTTTTTGTATCTGAGTTCTATAGTATAATACAAGATGTTTCTGCATCTGTAGGTTCTATGGTATGTTTTTATTTGAGTTTTATGGTATCATATGGGAGTTTTTGTATCCAGGTTCTATGGTATCATATGGGATGTTTTTGTATCTAGGTTCTATGGTATCATATGGGATGTTTTTGTATCTGTGAATTCTATTATCATATGGGATGTTTTTGTATCTGAGTTCTATGGTATCATATGGGATGTTTTTGGGTCTGTGAATTCTATTATCATATGTGATGTTTTTGTATCTGAGTTATATGGGATGTTTTTGTATCTGAATTCTATATCATATGGGATGTTTATGTTTCTGAGTTCTATGGTATCATATGGGATGTTTTTGTGTAAGTGTAAGAGTGTAAGAATGCACTCATTGGTTGCAAAGTGGCATTTTGAAAAGAAATATTGGGTGAGACTATAAATTTTCATTCTGATTGTATCCAATAAACTTACATTTATTTTTCTAAACTGCACTATGTATGATCTATAGTATGAAGGTAGACCGATAAAGCTGTTCTCTATGTCAAGTAATCTGCATGTATTGCCTTCTAACATAATGTTACTTGCATGTAAATGTCCATAAGGTATTCCTTTACTGTGTAAAAACTTCAAGGCCTGTCAAATAGAAAACAAACAAAATGTATGAATACTGTGCTCTTCATTCATTTAAAACTTCATAGCATTTTTACTATTAGAAATAATGTACATGCGCTGACAAGACATTTTCATTTAAAATACCTAGCAAGAAACAGTTTGTTTACAGCAGCTGGAACACTAAGTATTAAACATATTATCATTTCTTATATTCAAGCTACAGATTAGGCGATAACGCCTACTTGGAACATATACCATTAGTTCATATAAATCTCACCTGGTGAATTCACAGGGACCAATTCAGACATTCAAACGCAATGATTTGAAAGACTACTTACAAGAAAGCAGAAAACCTCACAAAAACTAAACTAAAATTTGAATCTTATTGTGCAAGCAATTGAATGTATCGTTTCTATGCCACGCTTTGGTAACATGGCAAAACAAAATGAAGCACAGCAGGGTTAGATGTTTTCAAAAAGGCAAAATCTGATCTCCCTCTGTCAGCTCCAAAAATGAAATGTGGGTAGGGATTGTTGGCTATAAAAATGTTGAAAGTAGCACAATATC